GAAGAAATGAGCAATCGTGACAGAATTTCTTTTACCTGTGCCTCGGCAGATGTCAACGGCCGTATAAAGGGCTTGATACAGGCGTCTCCGGAGGATGTCCATGACGATGGGCACCGAGATTCATCTGGAAAACGAAATTTGGAGCAGTTCGGCTAAGGGGGGGGGAGGCATTTTGCACTTTTGGTGCTTCCGCTGTCGTGTTGGCAAGCACTTTCCGCGAACTTTGACAGGTATCAGTTTATGGCTTCACGTGATTCCACAGATATCTACTCGCTGGCATGACACGACAATGGGAACCAGCGAAAGTGCAAAATGCCCCTTCCTAATCGAACTGCGCTCAGAATTTCACTTGAACCCCCTGAACTCAGAGTTTTTCAGCCCTGTGCCAGGCATTGGCTCGGAACCATGTAGTGCATATCCCGTTTTCCATGGGCCATTGCCAGTCATTGACTTTAGCTCGATAACTGCGCAACCATAGCTATTATGAGCGTTTATAGCATTACGAGCATGGGGTCATCAAATGAGCTCGACCAAGAAAAGCGCATTTCCCGGTTAAATCTATTACAAGTAACCTGCAATTATGGACGCGCATCACCAAACAGACTGACACTAATTAAACGGAGAAGAGCACGTTGGCGAACCAAAAGCGGAATATGTGTGAAATTCCTTTAATTAGCCCGTTTTCTATGGGTTAGAAAGATCAATAAGTGAGAGTATTGATCCTTGACATCAACCTTTTGGGCTTAATTTGATCAATAATGTCGGCTATCGTCAAAGGTCAAAAGCACGTACTCGACAACCTAAGAGCTGTTGACATAGCGCATCTCGATACTCAATGGGATATCTCCGGTTAAACATGGCTATCCATTACTACCGGAAACGTTGCGCTCAACAAACGTATATGTGACCCATTGATCTCTATTTTACTGCTTACTTATGAGATATCACATAGTTAAAGGTTCGTGATAAAGTTTTCGTCGCCCATCCGAGATGAGCCACGCATTCTACCTTCATCCGGAATCATAGTAGCTTACTGAGTGCGATATACCCTATGCAATAAGCTGCGAAGACCAATCAATGTATAAGTCAGCGTTTTTATCTTTCCAGACAAATCTGGTACCAATTTACCGTCCGCGGGAGGGGGGGGGGAAGGTAGGAAGTTGGCTGGGCTAGGCGGAGTCTTATCATATAATTACTAAATAC